AGTTAGTGCAGTTTGTGTTGCGGGTCAGACATTTTACTGATAAGATCAATGCACATAGTATTGCGACGTTGTTCAAGCGTATGCATTCCAGCTTTCAACAATAACTTTTCGTAATCTTTTTCGGAATAAATTGTTCTGAAAGCCCTTCTTTGTACTTTCTCAATACTGCTGCTCTGTGCTTTAGTAAGGCCCCCATGCCAGACTTGCGCTCCATATTCAAGTGTCGGCCTGATGGCAGAGATGTAAAACCGTTTCATATCAATCTTGTCAGCACCGTATTTCTTTAAAGTTTTTAATAAAAAGAGTCGCTTAACTGCTTTCCCTATTATATAATCAGTATTAGTTTGCCACTTTAAATTATCGTCAATCCATAAGCCCAATAGTTTGAAAGTGGAAACCCTTTCCAACGTTGTATCATTGAATGTTAGTGGTGGAATAACTGTTTTGTTCTGACGGAAGTCTAACTGCATTTCCTTACATTTTTTCAGGTTCAACTCCATTTTTTGAGACGTGGCAAATTCTATAACTTTCATAATATTATTGTTCATACTCCCAACTTGCGTACCCGAGACATGATCACGGACGTTAATAACCTCTGACAGTGTTGTATCATCCATGAAAAGAGTGAGGTCATCATCACCATCATCATTATCATCATTGCTTGAATTAGTCAAACTGCTCTCGGTATCTTTTATCCCTGCCTTCAGTCCGTTAATGTGAACGACGAACGCGATTGGACCAATACGACTACCTTGGGGAACTCCCCCATTAATCATGCAGCTTGTAGAAAGTTCGTTACCAAATCTTGTCACTTGCATCCTCTTACTCAGATATGACCCCAACCAGCCAATAAGCCCCGGTCTGACTCCAATTTTACAACAGTTGTCTAATAGCAGGTTGTGATCAATAAGATCAAATGCCTTGCGAAAGTGCAAAAACACAATTCGTATTACTCGTTGTGATAAGTCCAACGCTTTATTCCATTTGTGTAGAAGGTGAACGAGCGCAAGAACTGCTGACGAGCGTGGGACACCACCATACTGTTCCTTACAAATTTTAGACTCAATATCGTCATACATCCAATCAACCACGTAAGACTCCTGTATTTTTGAAATTGTGCTAGTGAGAGTTATTGGTCTTATTTCATCCAGATTCGTGCACGGTTCCACTTTTGGTATAGGTGCTAGGCGGAACTCTTTCCACAGTTTTGGAAACACCTTCTGCCCAAATGATGCATTAAAAATGTTTGCTAATGGGATGGCAAAAAAATGCGCAAACATTTTGATTATCTTGAGGTAGGGGTCGTTTGGACCGGGAGCTTTGTGAGACTGAATGGACAAAAGCTTTTTCGCAACGCTTTCGGTGTAACAGTCGGCAAGACATCTGAATGACCGTACGATGACCATCTGGATTGAATTTCTGGGAAATCATTTGTTAGATCTGCGAAAAACGTATTAATCATATTTGCAGCATCACTATCTTCGAGTTTGGAGTCTGATCCCTGCTCACTGAGATTGATAGAAGGTTTCTTCTTTCCAGTCAGTTTCCAGACCTTCTTCCACCACATTCGGGCATCCCCGTTGGTATTCAGCCTTCCAATGTTCATTACATAATAGTGCCTCTTTGCCTTTGTAATTTCCGATGCTACTCTATTACGAAGTTTCCTAAACTTCTGCATTCTTCCTTGTTTGTATGCGTTATCTCGCTTCCTTAGTAACTTTTTTATTTTTGTTGTTATAAAAAATTTATCATCGGAGTGCATTCGAACTGTTCTCTCCGGGAAATAGTAATTAATCATATCGTTAGTAGCTCTGGTGAAATCCTCAACCTTCTCATCTACGTTCTCAAGGTTTAGTACGGTTGACCAATCATATTGGGCAAGACAGGAACCAAATTGTTGCAGGTTATATCTTGGCATTGGACAAAATTTAATTTTCTTCACAATGTTTACCGAGCGCTGCTGTGATTTCGCCATCCAAATAACCATATTATGGTCTGAGGTAGACAGTGGTGCAATTACTTCAGGGGGGTTATAATGTGAGCTCATGTTAGTAAAATAAGATCTATAGGATATGTCAAGATTCATATATATGTATTAAGATTCATATATTTATGTCAAGATTCATATATATATATATATATGTATTAATATTCATATATAATTATGTATTAAGATTCATATATATGTATTAAGATTCATATATGTATTAAGATTCATATATGTATTAAGATTCATATATATGTATTAAGATTCATATATACGTATTAAGATTCATATATGTATGTCAAGATTCATATATGTATGTCAAGATTCATATATATGTATTAAGATTCATATATTTATGTCAAGATTCATATATATGTATTAAGATTCATATATATGTATTAAGATTCATATATGTATTAAGATTCATATATATGTATTAAGATTCATATATGTATGTCAAGATTCATATATATGTATTAAGAGTGAATGTCAGTAAAAATCGAACATATGAGATATTTCGCGGCCACGACTGAAAAATCGATTTTGCTCAAATTTTGCCCAGATATACCTTATTATATCGGAAAATGCACCATATATTTTTTTAGGTCAAATGCTT